CCGTGCTGTCCCTGTCCTGAGAGTGTTTGATTGGGACGGGGTAGAGGCAGCTTTACTCTGCATCTAACCCCATGGCTCTTAAAGGGACAATGTAAATAAAGGGAGAACTTAAAGGAATTTGATCAATTTAAATGAAAATATCTTTGTAAGGATCATGCGGCACTGCTTATGGAAAGCCTGATTACTGTTGGAACTGTGCGGCCCCTCCCCACGGCCATGATTATAATCATGAGAAAGGAAAAAGTGGTCTCACTTCATAAGTGCCCTAAGTACTTAACTAAACCACACCTTGCACCTGTATATATGACCACTATTACGAACAAAGCAGTAAATATTCAGGCCATTGATATTTTCATGACCAGAGCCCAGGCAACCTGGAGGATTGAGAATGTTAAACAAGGAAGTGAACAGGGTTTAAGAATTAGTGCATAATAGGCTGCAGGTTTTGACATATCATATGGGATTTGTCTGGAATCACAGTTCCAGTAAACGCTGCAATTTTAATTGTTATATCTGGGCAGTAGATCACTTATCCGAAATCCCAGGAAATATCTCACCTCTTTCTAAGAGCATCAAACATTTGCAGCAATATGACAACACGGGGTTAGATACAGTGTAAAGTTTCCTCTACGCTGTTCCCATCAAAATCTCCCAGGACAGGGACAGCACAGGGTTAGATACAGAGTAAAGTTTCCTCTACACTGTTCCCATCAAAATCTCCCAGGAGAGGGACAGCACTGGGTTAGATACAGAGTAAAGCTCTCTCCAAATTGTCCCCATCAAACATTCCCAGGACAGAGACAGTACGGGGTTAGATACAGAGTAAAGCTTCCTGTACGCTATACCCATCAAACACTCCCAGGATAGAGACAGTACGGGGTTAGATACAGAGTAAAGCTTCTTGTACAATATCCCCATCAAACACTCCCAGGACAGGGACAGCATGGGGTTAGATACAGTGTAAAGCCTGCGCTATTTTAAACTAAAATTAATGACTTATCTACACTGTTCCCATCAAACACTCTCTGTACACATACAACAGGAAACTAGATCCAACGTAGAGCTCCCTCTACTCTTTTAAACAGAAAGTAAAGCTCCTGGGTTGCTGAGTTTTGTAAAATTGTTGAAAATCCAGGGTTCAGAATTACAAAAGACGATTTCACTCAGCGAACTGAGATTCCGAATGATCTGGTCAATGTCAACTCTGAGAGATGAATCCATTGGTTGGGGAATTGAAGATCCAGGGGGTACAGTCTCAGAATAAACTACTGAGCATTTAGGACAGTGACAAGGAGAATGTGCTTCACCCAGTGTGGCTGTGAATCAATGGAATTCTCTGCTCCAGATGGTGTGAATGCTCCATCTTTGAAAACGGGTAAGGCCGGGAGAGAGCCAGTGATTGGCTGTCGCAGGGAATGGAGGGATAAGGATAATGGCTGGAAATGGGGATTGAAACTCAAGATCAGCCATCATCAGATTGAATGGAGCAGCAGGCTAAAGTTATCGTTTTGTTGGTAACACTTAGCTCCTTCATTGGTTTGAACTGAAGGTGTAATTGAGGTCCCTAGGACGGAGCTGGGATGAGGTCTCTACGTTGGAGCTGGACTGTCATCCCCGGGTTGGAGCTTGCCTGTGGTTCCAAAGTCAGAGCTGGGCTGTGGTCCTCAGGCCAGAGCTGGACTATGGTCCTTAGAACAGAGCTGGACTATGGTCTCCAGGCTGGAGCTGGGCTGTGGTCCCCAAGATGGAGCTGGGCTCAGTTCCCATGTTGGAGCGGGGCTCAGGTCCCATGTTGGAGCTGGGCTGTGGTCCCCAGGCTGGAGCTGGGCCGTGGTCCCCAGGCTGGAGCTGG